TCTTCCTTGTATTATTTTTGTTTGCTGTCTTTTCACCTCATTTTCTGTTCTGAAATGGCTGACATGTACAAATTTAGGTGAGACATAACTGTTCCCTGAACAGCTGGTTCCTACTACCACCCAGACAACAATTAAGAACTTAAAGTTTCCAGGAACCCAATGGAAACAAAACAGAAACTACACACCCTTTAAGATGGGTGTGTAGCCCTGGCCGGTTTTGCTCAGCGGTTAAGTGTCAGCCTGCAGTCCAGAGAGACCCAGGTTCGGTTCCCGCTAAGGGCGTGTACCTTGGTTGCAGTTTGTCCCTGCCCTGGTTGGGTCATGCAGGTGGCAACAACTCGATGTGTCCCTTTCATGTTGATGTTTCTCTCTTTCTCTCTCTCTCTCTCTCTCTCTCTCTCTCTCTCTCTCTCTCTCTCTCCCCCCTCCCACTCTATCTGAACAAAAAATGGAAAAATGTCCTTGGGTGAGGATAAAAAAAAAAAAAGATGGGTGTGTAAAATCCATGATAACTGTTTACAGAAAGTTATTTATCTTCTAATGACTTCTACATATTTTAGCATTCTCTTGCCTTTCTACTTTCTGTTCCTTCTAACATCTCCAACCTTTTGTTTTGGTTCTAACTCCTACACTAACTCTACTTAGTCAGAATCCTTTGTTATAGTATGGTCACTTAAAGGCCATTTTTTTTTTTTTTACTTCCAGAGCACTTATATTAGTTTGTAAATACCTATGTTAGCTTTATTTTATAAATCTATTGGCTCTACTTATCTCACTTTAAGAAACTAATTCTTCTAGTGGCTGTGGGTAGCATGAGGGAAATGCAAAAAGCATCAGGAAAAATCAGAGGAAAGAGGAGGTGAGAAAGGCCTTAAAATCAAACTAAGTACTTACTTTGCAAAGTGTCTTTTCTGTCTCAACTTGTCTGTTATTTTCCAACTAACTGTGGAGGTGGTGCTTATAAAGATTTTTCCCTCCTAGAGCTCCAGAATTTTAAAACATGTCTCTCCTTTCTATCCTTTTATATATCATTCCTTGCCTCTCATACTATGGCAAAATTATTACTAAAAAAATATATCAGCCCTCACAGTCATGTGTTCAACAAACTCATAAGGGTTAAAACTTTAGTGATGGTAGGGAACTTAGAATTAATATAGTCCAACTCCCACCTTTTATAGATGAGGAAAATTGAGGCTAATCAAAGTTACATGGTTTAAGTAAGTCATGTATTTAATTAGTTGAAGAACCAATAGTGGAACCCAGGTCTTCTGTCTTCCAATCTAGTCTTAATTTCTCCTTCCTCTATCCATTCTTTCTTGCCTGGGGTTAAAAATAGAAAAGGAAAAGAATGAAAGTATTTTGATTAAACTTTTATTTCTTCAGGTCAATTTTTTACTTTTAAGTATTTATCTATCTATATCTATCTATTATCTATCTATCTATCTATCTATCTATCTATCTATCTATCTATCTATCATCTACCTACCTATTCATCCATCCATCCCATCCATCCAGCCATCATCTATCTATACCTATTTGTAGCTTGTTAATTGAACACTGTGAAATTATACCAACCTAAAATGTATTCTTCAGATTTTCACAAAATAACTAAATTGTTAATAATGAAAACCCTGAATGTATGTTAGATTTTGGTTATGATTAACTGCTGACATAACATGAAAGCAGACCTGTTATACTTCAGATAACATTGACTTTTGACAATGTCCACAAGAGTGCTTCCTTCTATTACTATAATTTTTTCAGATAACTAATTTTACTTGCTCTTCTTTTGGCAGAGTACCAATGTCTTGAACATTGGAGAAATTATACCCTATCATAAAAATAATCAGTCTGATAAAGTGTAAAAGGAAAGTAAGCATGTTTTAGGTTTTTGAAATAATTGAGAATAGTTATAAAGGTGGTAAAAAAAATCCCTATTGATTTACATATTGACACACAAGTAGTATAGGAAATATAGAATCTCAATGTAAGGGTAAGTTAAATTAGTTTTGTTTATTTGCTGAAGGTCCATTACCTAGCTTCACGAGATAAATTATATGGTCTTGGATACCATATAGGGTTTACCATAATACAGAAATAAAATATCATAAAAGCATTCCTATGTACACACTTTCCTAAAGTTCTTTGGAGTTTTATGGACCTCAAACTCTCCTTTTGAAGGTTTCATTCCTTAGATCTGAGATGACTGATTTTAGCCATTAGAGCACAGGAAATTTTTAACACATTTTGCTTTCATAGTAAATCGTCCTTGTTTTTTCATCCATCCATCTCCTCAACTGAAGAAGGAAATATTGAAAGGAAGTCAATGAATTCTGAATTTATTTCACTTCCAGATCTTGGAATGAAAGTCAGTGAGTAAGATTTGTACAAACATTGGTAATATTTTAGACTTAGATACAGAATTAACATGTATATTTTTCTGTAATTCCACAATGGAGCCAGAAGCAGTGCTCATGTATATAGAGCTATATTTGTTTGCATGTGTCCTTCAAAGCAAAATCTTTAACAAATTTAACTGTGTGTTTATGTTTGTGTGTATTGTGTGTGTGTGTACACATATATATTGTAAAACAAAAAACAATGTAATATGTTACTCTGAGATCCACAACCACATTTTCTTGTTTTAGTTTCCCTTAATATTGTTATCAGATCCACAATTTCTTTAAATTAGGAATAAAATAACATTTCCCATTAATTTCAAGGGATTATTTTTTTTGTTACTCAGCTTCATGCAACTAGCAAATTTGAATGTCTTGGAGCTTAAGAAATAGAGGACAAAATAAGAGATTTCATAAATCAAATAGAGGATTTTAAATGATCAACTGCCTTCTTTTATGCAGAATGCTTCTTAGTAATTGTAAAACAATATAAACTTTAAAAATACTATTCTTGTAGTTAGTGACTGGGTGCTTAAGTGATAACTACAATTGTATTTTTTGTCCTTATGGCTTAATTTGAAAATGGGGATTTCACAATTTTTGCTCCCAAAGTGTTTTTTAGGGGCTAGTCTTTTGGGGGCTAGTCTTCATACTGTTGACACTTAAAAATAGATTTAAAGCAACCTGTTCAGATTTATTAGATACTACAGAAAAAAAAAGTTTCCTAGGAACTCATATAAAAGATTCTTACAAGGGAGAAAAAGTGTTTCTGCCTCAAAAAAAAACAAACAAAAAAAAAACAAAACAAAAAAACCCAAAACTTTGTTGACTTTATATTTATCATTAATCATTTCAGAGAACAGATTGTACAATGTGAAAACCCCATCAAACCAAACCATACACTTTGGAGCCAGATAGACTTACTTTGCACAACCATGGAATGAGTATCTTGTGATCTTTGACAAGCTACTTGATATTTCTCTCATTCTCCTCATATGGGAAACAATACTTATCTTTCAGGTTTACTTTAAATATTAAATGAACAAATGTTTTTAAAGCATACCTGGCACAAGTTATGTGTCAGTAAATGCTTATATATTTTTCCCAATAAGATATACTCTGATTCTCAATTAAGTTGCCCCAGTAATATATTCATTTGGGTAATAAAAAATTGATGGAGAAGCAAAACATTTTTAATTTAGCTCAAAGGTACCCTTTCTTACACATTTCTCAAATTAAGGTTTCTGTTCCCTCTTCTCTCATACAATACACACACACTACATGTATAAATCTTTCAATGTATGTAGAATGAATTTTTATAAATTTTGGTATTACTTAACAATTATTACACACAGTGAGAGAATGTGAATGCCTTTGAGTCTAACATTTCTCAGGAGTTAGTGGTAAATTCATGAACATATCTTTTAAAGTCAATTTACCCACATTTTGGAGTCCAATCTCTATTGTTTTTTCTTTATTAAAGCAGTGAAGTATCAGGAATTTTAATACTGTAAGAATCAAGCAACACTGGAAATTAAGTCCCAAAGCAGTGAACCTTTAGCAAATATTTAGAGATACCACGAATCATAATAATATATTTTCAATAATTTTGTACTCAGTCTACTCTCCCAGCAACCTTTTGGGAAATATCCAGAGATAATTTATTGGCTAAATGCATCGATCTTGTAAAAGACATTTGGAAGATTTCACAGTTTGATCCCCTGAGACAGTCTAGTAAAGGAACAGAAAATGTAACAAATAAATAAATAGGTAAAAGATGAAAGTAATCTAGGCATTGGCATTGGGTGAGAGCTTCATTTCAGATGTAGTTCTTCCTCATCTCTTTACCAAGGGTCACGAGTTACTTTGTTGTTTAAAGTCTCCCCATTAAGACTGTTACTGAAGAACAACCCAGAAGTACAAAATATCACAAATCTTTGCAAGTGGCGATTTACAGGGGTGTTTCTGTATCCTATCATATATAGATGAAGCAAACCATTAGTTAACCATACAGTTTCTTTTGCTACAACCCACCACTTCATTATTTTCGCTGACATCTGTACCTGCGATGCAGGAAGCTCTCCTAGACTGAATAACAAACTAAGTGCCGGCATCTTCCTGAGAGCTGTCTTGTATCAACTTGACCCAGGGATTTTAGAATATATGGGCAAATTCACAGTGGTTCCCGTTCTCTCTTCCTATCACCATCCGGTGGCGCTGTCTCCAGGACTTCCGGTGAATACGGTTTTGCAGGTGACTTGCTGTGTCTTGCACAAGTAAAGCGTAGGGCACCCACTGCTACCATCACCCACATCCTCAGGTCCTCAGTTTTCAGGTTTTCCCTTTAGCACGCAGAGCCTAAAGCCCAAAGTAGGGGCATACACGGGGCTCCTTCAAGGTCAGAGGAGCTACAGTCTCACCTACCTCCCGGATGTCTACCGCTGCCTCCCACTCCGACCGCATCACTGCAGATCCTTCATGGACTTCTTCACACTGCACTTTTCTGCGCGTAAACGACACCTGAGAACTAAACATTCCGCTCCCAAATCTTGCTGAAAATCTACTTGCCACGCCTCTCTGCGTATGGCTTCATGGTGAGTGTCGAGGGTGGGATCCAGAAAAAAAAAAAAAAAATCATTTCCGGCCTGCCACTCCTTTTTCACGAGGAATCCAGTCGCCCAGGAAGGCTTTCAGGCTTTCCGCCGCTCCACGTTGCAGCCTTCATTGAACTAAATTGGGGATGGGGAATTGGGGAGAGAAGAAAAGTCGTTGTGGGCGGCTGGGTGCATCCCCCATCAGTCTCCCGCTGCCGTGCACAGGTACCGGGCAAGGTCACGGTGGCCCTGTTCCTCAGCCAGGTCCACTGGCAGGCGGCCCCAGGCATCGCGCACATCCAGCCTAGCCCCTGCTTGGTGCAGCACCACCAGTGTGTCCAGGAAGCCCTCTCGGGCCGCATCGTGCACCGGTCGGGTGAGGGTGGCCGGGTCTGCACAATTGGGGTCCGCACCGTGGAGCAGCAGCAGCTCTGCTACGCGGGTGCTGCCCATCATCATGACCTGAAAGAGAGAGGGAGAGAGCAGAGTGGGTTAAGGTGAGGGGGCAGCGAGATGCAGGCCTGGGCAGGGACACAGGCAGAGCCATTTCAAAGAAATGCCTATTCATGAATTATCTATTCAATTAATGCAGAGGTGCTCACAGGCCTCAGGAGTCTGGTTAAGCTTCATTTTCTGACGCAATATTTCCCTCTTCCCAGTCTCACCACCCGCTCCAGGTATACTCTTTACCAATTGAGGTTGTTTATTTTCCAAACATGCCAAGACAAGAAAGAGCTGATGATAAAGTGCTTGTCGCCATTGTGAGAAAAAAGAAAAAAAAAATTCATTTGAACACAGGAATCTATTTTGTTAAACGATTTATAGGTGGAATACTCTCCCCCCTCCCAGCCATAAACTGGTTCTAAAAATCTTTATTAGGCAGTCAGCTGATATATATTGGAAGTTAGAGTAATGCTTTAGGGGACAAAACAAGAAACAACTAAATTTAGAATAAGCTTTACTTTGTTTAGTTCTCACAGTAAATTCCCTGTGGAAGGCTTTTGCTTTTCAGTCATATATGTCTGTGCTTATAAACATAATATAGTCCTACAATTTGAGCCAAATTGAAGATATAGGGGAAAAAGTGAAGGTCACACATTGTTTTATAAAATAAAGAAAACAAATTATTTGTTAATAAATTGTTTACCATTTAAAATATATTTAACAACATTATAGAGAAGGGCTAAAGTTTAGAGGGTGATATATTTAATGTAACATAAAATAAATACTATATTTACATTGCACAGGATTTTACAATGTGTTAGGATTTTATAATGTTAAATAGTAAATGTTCTGCTATATGAAAAGAACATGGTTGTTAGTTGAATCAGAACAATGCATAATTTAGAAAAAGAATGTTTGGAACAGTAATCCTATAGTATCCATTTGTATACATATACATTATGCAAACATTTACTTTCTTATTTTAACAATAAAACAATTTTTATAACTAAATATCCAAAATGGAATTATTTGTTCTTGTGTTTTAAAGTGTACCATGTAATCTAAAGATAGTATACCATATATATTTTTTGGTTTCATGAATATTAGAAGCATCAAATTCCTTGCTTAAAAACCAAGATATATGTCATCATTCCTACTAGTGATATAAAGGCTGTTTCACATATAGAGAAGAGGGAGAAAAGTCGTTTTTAATATATCAGAAAATGGTGAAATAAAACTATAAAAACCTATTTATTCAATTATTAGTATAATTTGAACTCTTTAATAACTACTTTTCCATATTTTTGATGCTTTGAACAGTCCCTCACTTCTTGTAACATTTTTTTCTAAGAATTCTAAAGGAATGAACGCATCTTTTCTTTAAAATCTACACTGTTAACAAAATTCCTTAATAAAAACTTGGTTCTGGAAGGTGATGGTGAAGTGAGTACTAAATATGACCATAATAGTCAACAGTAAAGCACAAAAACATTAGTTTAGATTTTAATGGAATTAAATATATATCAGTACTAATTAAAGCAGGAATAATAAACATATTGAATAAATGTATTTTAACAATGAAGAGGCTAATTATTCATGAAGACTCTTTTCTACTTAAAAAGGACCTAACAGATGCTGTGGGAATGCTTTTGTAATCCAAGCATTCAGTATGATAATTGAATAGTAAAAATCTAATGTAACATTCAAGAGATAATGCTAACATAAAATATAAAGAATTAAGTATTGTGGTTTGAAAATGCTGTCTTGTTCCTTTGTATTTAATTCACCTCTAGAAAAAGAATACAAAGAATTTCATATAGCAGTTTAAACGTTCAAGGTCAATTTTTTTCATGTGCTATGATTTTGTGTGATTCCTTAAATCCAAACCAGAATGTGTAACTTGTAATTTATCTCTATCGCTGAAAGTAGACATACAGACAAAACAGTTCTCCCCAAGTAGCCTTTCCCTCCCCCACACCCCAATTGAATCTACACCTTGCATCTCTGAGGCTGAGAAGGGAGAGGCTATATTGATATTTTCCCCAGCAATAAAAAGAACCCAAACTGAAGCAGTGGGTTTTTCATTCCCTTTCTTTAGGATTTTTGGTGGGTGAAAACCTGCTTTACACATCTAGCAAGAAAGAAACAGTGGAGACAGTTCCTAGACGCGTCTCACGGAGACCGCGCACCCGGGTTCGTGCGCCCCCTGCCGGCGAGGCCCCGGGGCCCCAGCTACCTGGATCGGGCGCCTCCCGAAGCCGTTGACTCCGTTGGGATCAGCACCGGCCTCCAGGAGCTGCCTCACAGTCTCCACTTGCCCCCGCGCGGCGGCGCTGGCCAGGCCCGCATCGCTGCTGCCACCACCGGGCATGATCTTGTCTTCTTCCCACATTTCGCAGCCACCGGAAAAAATCTGGCCCATATGATCCATTGCCGGCGGTGAGCTTCACGACACTCTTCCCTTCCTCCCCACGTTGCCCTGGCGAGCTCTCTCCTCCCCAGCAGATCTCCGGTAAGCTCCAGTCCTCTTTCGCGGTCTTTCTGTGACTCGCGGGCTAATGCAAAGGCCAAATGGCCCGTCGTTAAGTCAGGCTTTTCCAAGCGCACGCGAATTAGCGGACGAGCCCAGCTCGCTCGCTGGAAAAGGCGCCTTGCGCAACGGCTATGGCTGGAAAGTGCGAGAGCGAGCGTCACAGCGCCCTCAATGCACAGCGGAGTTTCTGACAAGTGGAAAGCTGACCAGGAGTGAATCTGTTTGGTCCAGCTGGGCGGCGCCTCTGGGCTCTCCCCACCCCCTTAGGCTCCGCCCGTAGACCGGCCAGTGGGCTCCTAGAAATTAAAGCTTGCTGACGGGGGGGCGGGAGCAACAGAGCTACAGATAATGAGATAGGGCGGGGGCGTGGTGGGGGTGGAGCCAGCCTAGACGGTGCTGGGGCGCATACTCCAGACTCCGGGAGCGCAGAGGCGACTGCGCTGGCCGCCGGGTGTCCGGCAAAGTCTTAGCTAAGGTTTTGGAATGGTTTAATCACCGTACTCAGCCCCTCCCTCCAGCAGGCGGAGCAGATGATTTCTATTCCTTCAGCTCTGGGTTTGCTGGTTTCAAGCTGGAGACGTTAGTCGGTCCCTGTAGTATCAATCGCTGAGAGAGAGGCATTTAAAATAACTCTGTCTTAAGATGTCTGAAAGTGACAGCTCTGCACCTGTTATGCAGGTTAAATTCATTCCCAGGCAATACTTGAACTTCATTAGCTTCACATCTTGCATCGGCCTTAGCAGTTTTCTTTTGGGTGTGTCTTCCTATTCGAATGTCAAAAATCATTCTCAGTAAATAATCCTCAGAATCCTGTTTTGAATGTGCTTTTTATTATTTTCACCTTTGAATTATGAATACAATCCTTTAAAAAAACTATTTTAGGTTGAGAGTTACAACACATTGGACATTTAAAAATATAAATATATATTTTAAGAATCTGAGACCCTATTTTCATGATATTTGAACAATTTACTTTTGTTTGCACTTTTACCTATTAAAACCCACATCAGCAAGTATTTGATTTTTATTTATCATGAGTAATAAAGGAAATTTATGAAGTAGTAATGGAACATAATAAACAGGGGTGTGGTGCTGGCCCTGTCATTAAACAGACTGAACATGTCATTAAATCCTCTTCTGAAGATTTAAAGGCCAAGTGCTTTTCTTTTCTTTCTAATCTTCCTAGGTGAGTTTGCATTAATGCATTGCTTTAAAGATTTAAAAATTATAGCTGATTCTTGGTTGAAATAGGAAGAGAACCACAAGTTTTGTGTCTGCTGCTTAAAAACTTCAGTGAAGTGGATCTCTCCTAACACTGAATAGTTTTTATTCACCACATCATTTTTGGTTCGAAGTGCCAAGGAGGAGGACCCTTTTATTTATTTATGAAATTTATTTATTTATTTTTGTTACAGATGTTTCTCTTTAAAACATTTTTTTTTCTTTATTGATTTTTTTTTTTTTATCCTCACCCAAGGACAATTTTCCATTTTTGTTCAGATAGGGTGGGAGGGAGAGAGAGGAACATCGATGTAAAAGGGACACATTGAGTGGCTGCTACCTGCACAACCCAACCAGGGCGGGGGACGAACTGCAACTGAAGTATGTGCCCTTATCGGGAACCGAACCCGAGGGCCGACGCTCTAACCACTGAGCCAAACCAGCCAGGGCTCTTGATTGATTTTTTTTTTTTTCCTCACCCGAGGACATTTTTCCATTTTTTGTTCAGGTAGAGTGGGGGGGGGGGGGGAGAGGAACAGAGAGAGAGAGAGAGAGAGAGAGAGAGAAACATCGATGTGAAAGGGACACATCGAGTGGCTGCCACCCGCACAACCGACCAGGGCCGGGGACAAACTGCAACCGAGGTACGTGCCCTTAGTGGGAACCGAACCCGGGTCTCTCAGGACCGCAGGTCAACGCTCTAACCGCTGAGCCAAACCGGCCAGGGCTTGATTGATTTTTAGAGAGAGAAGAAGGGAGAACGAGGGAGAGTTAGAAACATCAATGAGAGAGAACATCAATTGGCCACCTCCTTCATGCCCCCACTGGGGATTGGGCCCACAACCTGGGCATGTGCCCTGACCGGGAATCGAACCGGCGACCTCTTGGTGCATGGGTTGATGCTCAGCCAGTGGGCCACACCAGCTGGGCCAGATGTTCCCCTTTTTTCCTCCCATTGACCCCCTCCTCTCACCCCTACCCCAGCATTATTGTCCATGAAGGAGGAAGACTCTTAAAGGGAGGACCAATAGCTTGCTTATTTACAAATGAGAAACTCCATATAGTTTTCTAGCATGTCTTAGCTTGGACTCTCCTTCCCTCAAACCACTGTAAAATGAGAAAGAGCTCTTTAAAGAAGGAAAGGCCCATGGAAGTGGTGGTTAGGGCTGAAGATATACTGACTGATTCTCAAAAGAGTGGGAATCCATCTGGATGGGGAAGAGAAGGAGATAGTAATAGTGGCATGTTTTTTTTCTTTTTAATTTTTTTATTGATTTTAGAGAGAGAGGAAGTGAGAGGGAGAGAAAGATAGAAACATCGATGAGAGAGAACATCAGAGAACATCGATTGGCTGCCTCCTGCATGTCCCCCACTGGGGATCAGGCCCACAGCCCAGGCATGTGTCCTGACTGGGAATTGAAATGGCAACCTCTTGGTACATGGGTCAATGCTCAACCACTAAGCCACACCAGCTGGACTAGTGGCGTGTTTTTTTCTTTCTTACCACACCCACATTTCTTAGGTTTCAGTTTCTTAGTTTCTCTACCTTTTACTCTTATTTGAGCCTCTATTCTTACCTGGAAGAAGAAATTATCTTTTTGTTTGTTGGTGGTGGCTAAATTTCTTGGTTTGGCCAGAGGAATAGAAGTCTACTTTTGGGAGAAATGCACCAATGAACTGTTTTTGTTAAGTCTTTGGGGCCAGTCTTTATGTAGTGTATTGGGAATTAGAGTTATATAGGTAGACTGGGAAAAGGAAGAAGTAAGATGGACAGCAGGAAGCTAGAGTCTTTGAAATGTATGGCATTGGTTCTTTGCTAGTTACTCTAGCAAAGTCTGATACAGGTGAATATGGTGGCAAATGAGCCTAGTCCAGAATATCTTTATTAGAACAGCCTAGCTACTCTGAAATTTAGTGTACAGCCAAATGTCACAAGGCAGGTTGCCTTTCAAAGGCGTGTTGTGGGGGCTATTCTTCTAATGGATCCAATAATTAAATTTAGTTAAAACTTAATTCAGCATGTGCAGAAATTCACAGTTGAAAAAGATATAGGTCCTAGCTCTTAAGAAACTTTCCTGAATGTCCCTCAAAAGTGATAAATAGTGAATTTCAATTTAATGTGGTAACTTAACTGAGACTTGTGTTTACAGGGACTTGGAGAATAAGGAAGAAGGGAACTTAACTGAAGATGAAGGTGCAGGGCAAGTTTCTTAGAGGAGTTGCTAGCTAAAGAGAGTCTTCAAGGAATGCATTAGGACTTAACTGCTTCCTGTGTTCTCGCCTTGGATTTCTCTGAAACTTAATGAAAAGGGTAGGAAAAGATAGCCTGAGCCAATTTTTGAGCCACCTTCTTAAGTGGTAGGCATGGACAGTGTCTGAAAAATAAAAACTATTTGGAGGTGATAAGTAAATGGAAGATGATTTTTCTTTTTTTTTGTTTTGTTTTGTTTTGTCAAAGAGACATAGATAAAGAGTGGTAAAATAGCCCGAATGGTGTGGCTCAGTGGTTGAGCATCGAGCCATGCACCAACAGATCACTGGTTTGATTCCCATTGGAGGCACTTGCCCAGGTTGTGGGCCAAATCTCCAGTTGGGAGCATGTAGGAGGCAGCCAATTGATGTTCTCTCTCCTTGATGTTTCTATCTCTCTCTCTAAAAATCAATAAAGAAAAAAAATTAAAAAAGAATGGTAAGATAGGTGAAAAACCAGTGGATAAAATGACTGAGACTGTACCACGAGACAGGTATGTGAGCTTCCTAAGCAATTTGGAAAAGAATTTAGGGCCAGCGCAATGTTGCCAGCGATATGCGCGGTTACTAGCACCACGGACAGCGCTTTCCTGCTAAGCGTGACTGGGTGGTCCTAATACACTACAGACTGAGAATTCCTGAGGAATCTTCAAACTTGATCTTCCAAAGCCTTTTCTCCCCTGAAATTCAAAGAGAATCACATGGAAGCTCAACAGACTTCTTTACAAATCCAAAGTGCTCACTCAACATGGTTTCCAAATAGTATAGGATTATCTAATATTGTTTATGTAAAGAATATTAAATATCATCTGTATTTAAAAGAAGAGAGGAGACATTACACTTATTGTCTACTCTGTTTCAAGTGCTTTACAAGTATTATTTCATTCAATTCTCATACAGTCCCTATGCAACATACATTAGTATCTCAATTTTACAGACATAACAAAAGTATCACAGAAGTTAAATAATTTTCATACTAGCTAATCATTTTTGGAGGTTGCATCTAACATCGGTGGCTTCAGAGCATCGACCTTTACACTGTATAGTTTTTAGCAGCTGTCATGGTAGGCTTAACTGGAGAAAAGAGCAATAAACTGGATTATAATTATTTTCCAGTCTATACTGTATTTTCCAGATGGCTCACCAATAGCATACTCTTAATAGACTTAAAAGATGACATTTTACATGTAATACAATACAACATTTATCTTGGACAATAGAGTAAGATAATGTAACATTTTACCTCTCCTTGAAATCCAGCTGTCTCTAGGATGAAATACAACATGTTGTTAATGCTTTAAACACGTTTAAGAGATGGAATGAATAGGAAAGAACATAGTGGGCAGCTGAAACTTGGAATTGCCACAGCTATACCCTTTAATAGGATGAATAATTTATAAGCGAGAAGGGATAGAAAGTAAATGGTAAATTTGTATCTAATTTTGGATTTAAATAGAAGGGAATGAGTAGAGTCAGTTCCAGTATTATAAATAATGCAGATCCCTAGTGAATGTTTATATTCTAGTTGGTGAAACTGTATATAAACTCACTATAAAAGTGTGAATAGAATCAGTTGAGTGACCAAGAGAAGTAGTGACATAACTTGCATATGGTTGGATCCAAGATTGTGTTTCTAAGAGGGAAGAGAAGAAAATTCAAAATAATTTTTTGTGACTTTTTCAAACTATATATGACATACCTTCCA